GGGAATGACAGGGCCCCTCACTCCCCTGTTTTTGCCTCCAGGAACACCCTTCAGGGTCTATGGTAGGAGGAACTGCTTGAAATCTAACAGAAAAGTTAATAGCTCCTAAACTGGGAAAGATGATGGCAAAATTGAAATGATCACCTGTTTAATGAAATGACCACCAACTGTTCCTGGTGGGAACAGGCCGCAGCTATGAACACTGTTCTTGCAGAGTTAGAGATAAACAATATCGAGTGCATGTACAGAGTATTTTAATATTTGAAGTGTGAGGGCCTTTTAAAGTAGGAGGGTGGAAGGACTCGAGGTTTGTAAAAATATCTGGAAAATGGGTTCCCCCCAGGGACCCCAATTTGGTTTCCTCACTCTTTTGGGTCCCCCATTGCATTATTCACCAACTACAAACCTGGTTGCCTAGCAACGGGAACCCGATCCCCCCCAGCAAGGAAGAGGCCAGGAGATTACATCTTGGGGGTGGGACAGCAGAGGGGGGACTTCAGTGGGGCAAAACTATTTAGCAGAGGGTCTGGCCTTCCTGCAAAGCATGACTTCAACCCTCTGCCCTAGCTGAAATCACAGCCCCCCAGGCTGATCTCTGGCCTCCAGGCTGCCAAGACAGGGTACCTGGACCTCCCTCTCTCCTCCAGGGTTTCTAGTATTTGGGGCCTAAGAGCTTCCAGCTCCAATACCAACTCAGTGACCTTGGACAAGACTTTTTGCTACTTCTTGGAGCCTCAGTTTCCCCATCCATAAGATGGGGACAAGAATACTACTTACCTCCTAGGATCTTTGGGAGGATTCAATGAATTATATAGGTAAACCATTTCACAGCGCCTGGCACATGGTATGCACTGGGTAATGGTTGGGTGATTTTATTCTCAGTTGGAATGTCAACTCAGCAAAGAGTCCACTACAGTGTCTCAAGATCAGGGCAGGGAGGGGGAGGGGGAGGTGGCTGTGGTAGCCTATTGGAAGCCCCACAGAGCACTTAGAGCACTATATATAGTAAATGCTAAATATGTGCTGATACTATAGCTGCATGGTGTGACCAGAGAAGATCTGGGAGGCCCTGCTTGAGTTTGGGCAATGAGGTTAATAGTCACTCAGTAGTGTTAGCGCTCAAATTAATAAATGTTTGAGGGCTTGCCCTGTGTGTGCCCTGGGCTAAGTGTCCAGGACAACAGGCAGGTGGATATATTCTTCTAGATATTGGCCTGTGAAGCACCTGAACATAGTTGGTACTCAGTGCACGTCCTTGATGATAGGTTGATCCAGTGATGACTGTCTCTTAAGCACCACAATCAGTTTCTGGTTTCCAGAGTGAGCCCAGATGGGGCCAGGGGCAGCCCTGGAGTCTGTGAAGTGGGATCCTGGGATTCTGCAAGGAGGACAATGATGAGAGTATCTCAGGTTAAACCTTACATAGCAAATCCTCCTCCCCTCTTTTCAGCTCAGAGTCCAGGGCTAGGCAGCATGACTTGATGACCCTTGCCCCCTGAGGGTGGGGGCTGGCAGGTAGAGAAGGCAGCTCTGGAGTTACCATGGCAATGGTGAGTGTCCACAGTGGTGAGATGGACACTGCTCTCCCCAGACTCCCTCACCCCCCAGAGCTTAAGAGATCCTGGGTAGGAGTCAAAGTCCAGAGATGGTGTGGAATAGGAAGGAGATACAGCATGTTGGGGGTCTGGTGGAATTCGAGAGTTTCTGTAGGATGGACTGGAAATGGTTATTATAACTAATCATAAGCATTATCAATCATGGGAATTATTAAAGGTATTATGATTAATAAACTATGCTACCAGTTTTGGAGAACTATGTCCTAAGTTTTTTCTAGCATGGCTATTTCCTTGTTAGGGCATCTCTCTGCAAGGTCAGGGTCAAGCTATCCAGGTCCATTTGATAGATGAGGAAACTGAGACTCAGGTGATGTCAGACCTAGGAAGGGCTTTAGCTCAACCTGTCATGGTCTCTGCTCCTTTTTCCTCACAGGACCCCTTCCTACCCTCTGCCCCAACTCCTCCCAAAGGGGAAATAGAGGAAATGCTGCGCTCTAGTTGCTTTCCAAGCAGCCCAGGGACCTTGCCTTAGAGAGGGGCATTCAAGGAGACAGCTTGTTGAGGGTGGGACCCTGGGAGACCCCTCCGAAGCCCCCGCCCTCTCCCCACAGGCCCATGGTCGAGAGCTCCCTCTACCGGCAGCGACTAGAGGTCATCGCGGTAAGTGACACCCTCCGGGTGCGCCCCGCCCAGCGCCCTGGGCAACTCCAGCCTAGGCCTCTTGCTTGCCTCCCTCCCATCCGGGGGAGATGGCCTAGCGCTGTGAAGTCGGGGAGCAGCACCCTCAGCTCCAGCCCTGCCTAAATCCTCAGTTCCCCTGTCTGGTTACCACCACCCCAAAATTGGTGAGGCTGCGATCCTGCACTTCCAGAATCTGCATCATCCGATGCTCCATCTAGAACCCCAATCTCCCAAACATCCCGAGTAACCCCCATCTCTGAGACCTCCATCTCACTAACCCCCATCTCTCTCATCCCTCATCTCTAGATCTGCATCTCCCTGAACCCTCATATATAAATGTTCATTTCTTTGGACCCCAACCTTCTGGCCCCCATATTTGTACCCCATCGTTCTGAACCCCACCTCACTAACCCCCATCTCTCTGTCCCTCACCTCTGCATCCAATCTCTCTGTCCCCCACTTCTGCACCTCCATCTCTCTGGACTCCATCACCACAGCCCAGTCTCGCCGAACCCCTATGACTGCACCTCCCTCCCATCCCTAGGGGCTGGCCTAGCGTTGTGAAGTGAGGGAGCAGCACCCTCAGCTCCTGCCCTGCCTGGACGCCCCACCTAGATCCTCAGGCCCCTCGGCTCCCCGGTTCCTCTGTCCGGTCACCACTCCTCCGGACCCTCATCTCATTAGCCCTCTTCCTTTGATCCCCTTATCTGGACCCCCTATCTCTGAACCCCGTCTTTCTTAACCCCATATCTCAGACCTCTACAGCTCTGTCTCCCCTCTAGATTTCCATCCCAAGGTTTGCCCCGCCCCCCA